TCAGCTCCCTGTCCATCCCCACTCCCAGCTCCCTTCCTGCCTGGCTGCTCTCCAGCCCCTCTGGCCCAGCCTGGAGCTGCCGGGGGTTGTTGTGGCCAAAGGGCAGGACCCGGCCCTTGGCCTTGTTCAACACCTTGTTAATCCACGGAAGGGCTCCCACCAGGAACAGAGCTCCTCAGTTCTCAGTTACTCATTTCCCAGGAGGAGAAGTTAAAGATTGACCCACGGGAACTGGGACTGGGAGCCCAGGCGGGTTCAGGGACTGGAGCAGAGTTTGGTTCCAGCCTGGGGGACACCGAGTCCCAATGTGACCAGGGAAAAACCTTCCCTCCCCCTTGGTTTTTAATGGTTTTCAGTTCTTTTTCAGCTTCTGTAATAAATAATATAATATAATATCATATAATATCATATCATATCATATTATATCATATTATATTATATACATATATAATATAATATAATGAAAATAGTATATAAATTCATATTTTCAAATACTATATAAATACTATATAAATAATAATAATGTATTATATAAGTCTAATGGTGATTAAAAAAACTTTTTTCCCCTTTTTTTTCGTGGTTTTCAGTTCTTTTTCAGCTTCTATAATAAACATAATATAATACAATATAATATAATATAATATAATATAATATATAGTTCAATATGTAAATAACAGTATATAAAATAATAGAGTACGTAAATATATATTTAGAGTATAGAAATCTAATGGTGTTTTTCAGTTCTTTTTCAGCTTCTATAATAAATAATGATATAAAAGTTTTAATTAATGTATATTTATATGCATTCTAAACAGGTATATACATTATTAAAAAGTAAAACTATGTATCATAATATTATAAATGTTAAATTACATTTCATATGCATTATTTAAAAATAATATCTATAATAGTAGTAAAAATGTTACTTAATGTATATTTTGTATACATTCTAAAAATGTATATGCATTATTAAAAATAAAATACAAATATATATCATAATACTATAAAGTTGCATTTTATATGCATTATTTAAAAAATAAAAATATATATTATAATATCATGAATGTTAATGTATATTTTATATCCATTATTCAAAAATAAAAATATGTATTATAATATTATGAATGTTAATTGAAAATATTAATTGCAATTTTATAAATGTTAATTAATGCACGTTTTATATAAATTATTTAAAAATAAAATTATGTATTGTAATATTATGATTATTTATCTTTTATATAATTCTAAAAATTAAAATAAATAAAAATATTTATTATAATAGAAATGTTAATTAATCCATGCTTTATATACATTAATTTAAAATATTGTATTATTATGAATGTTAACTTGTATTTTATATACATGCTAAGATTAAAATAAATAAATATATGTATTATAATATATATAATGTTAATTAACGCACATTTTATGTATATTATTTAAGCATAAATAAAAGCATGTATTGTATTATTACAAATGTTAATTAATGTAGATTTAATATACATTATTAAAAATAAAATAACAATATGTATTACAATATTATGAATGTTAATTAATTTATAGTTTCTATACATTTTAAAAATTAAAATAAAAATATTTATTTTAATAGTATAAGTGTTAATAAATCCCAAACCTTCCCAAACCTTCCCTTCCCAAACCTTCCATTCCCTTCCCACACCATCCCAAACCTTCCCTTCCCAAACCTTCCCTTCCCTTCCCAAACAAGGAGTGGACGGGACATTTTGCAATCTGGTTTAGTGGAAATGGGGGATTTGGTTAAAAGCTGGATTTGCTGATCATGGAGGTCTTTTCCAACCATAGTGATTTAGGATTTTCCTAACACCTGTAAAAATTCCATGGAATAGAACTTCCCAGAGGGAAAAACCCCCAACAAACCCAACCTCTCGTGGTAAAGAAGCCGATTTTTCGGCGTGACTCAGGTTTGGGGGTTTTTATTTGTTCTGCAGTTAAAGTTTTCCTGGGAGAACGAGGCAAATATTTGCATTTGTGGGGGCAACACAAACACCTCCCCTGCGGGTTGGAGCACCGGGAATGTGGGAACAGGCAGGGATGGGTTATGGGACAGTGCTCTGGATCCTAGGGATGGATCTCAGCACCTCTCATCGGCATGAGAGCTCCTGGCTGGAGGAGGAGGAGGAGGAGGAGAAAGAGGAGGAGAAAGAGGAGAAAGAGGAGGAGGAGGAAGAGGAGGAGGAATACATAGAGGGGGAAAAGGGGAAGAAAAAGCTTCCAGGAGTCCCTCCACCCATCCTGGTGCTGATCAGAACAGCTTTCCTCACTTTCTTGGGATGAACACGGGCAGTGCCAACACTGGGGGCTGGGCAGGAAGGACAGGACAGGGGCAGGTTTGTGGTGCCCCCCTGGTACATTCCCGGGGCAGAGAAAGCTCCACCAAAGCTGGGCAGAAATTAAAAATACACAATAAAAACCTCTGGAGTTAAAACTAACCCTAAAAAAATGCTGTTAATTTTATTCTGGTTCAGCTTTTCCTCCCGGTTCAGGACACTCTGCATGAATGGGATGACTTGGCCCAAACATTCCTTGGAGGGGAGCAAGGATTCAGAATTAAATACTGGATGTTTAACATAGAGGGAGTTAATATTCATTAATTAAGAGGATTCTCATCCTGAAATACCTATTAAGGCATTAATAATTCAGCTGCAACGGGCTTGGATGGGAACTTTGCCTGTCCAAGTGTCCCTTATATATACAAAGGGCTTGTGCTCTTTTTATATGTGTAAAAAAATCCCCTCTAAGGCAAATCACAGGTTACTTTTGAATGTTCAAACCTTTTAAAGGTTTATTTGCAAATAGTCACCAGAGGAGCATCAGGCCAAGCTTGACAGTCCCACCTGAAGGTGGCTTGGCTGGGTTTGGTGAAGCAAAACATCTGGAGCTGCTGACTGCTCTCTGATGCGGGGTAAAGGAATCCAGAGAGCTTGATTTCAACTTGACACTCCTGGCACAGGGGGGTAAAATTCATTGACAACCTTATCTGGAGCCATCAGGGATTCGAGGGGTTGGGATCAATTCCCAGCTCTGTCACATGCTGCTTTTATAACCCACCCAATCCCTTCGTTTCTTGGTGGTTCTGGTCACCAGCTGGGAGAAAAAAGACACTTTTTGCTTGACTCATCTGCTGAATTCCTGGAGCAGGAGCCGTAAATCTTCCCAAAATGCAACGCTGAGCAAAACACTCTGGCCTGGGCTGGGCTGGGGGGACTTTCTGCCCAGCTTTGGTGGAGCTTTCTGTGCCCCTGAGAATGTACCAGGGGGAGTTTACCAGAGGGGCACCACAAACCTGCCCCTGTCCTGTCCTTCCTGCCCAGCCCCAGTGTTGGCACTGCCCATGTTCATCCCAAGACAGAGAGAAAAGCTGTTCTGATCAGCACCAGGATGCCTGGATGGAGTCCTGGAAGTTTATTCTTCCCCTTTTCCCCCTGTGCATTCTTTCTCCTCCTTCTCTTCTTCTCCTTCTCCTTCTTCTCCTTCTTCTCATTCTCCTCCTCCTCCCACCTCTTTCTTCTCCTTCTCCTTCTCCTTCTCCTTCTCCTTCTCCTTCTCCTTCTCCTTCTCTTCCTCCTCCAATTCCTCCTCTTATTCCTCCTCTTTCTCTTCCTCCTTCTCCTTCTTCTCTTCCTTTCTCCTCTTCCTTCTCCTTCTTCTTCTCCTTCTCCTTCTCCTCCTTCTCCCCCCTCTTTCTTCTCCTTCTCCACCTTATCCTTCTCCTCCTTTTCTCCTCCTTTTCCTCCTCTTTTTCCTCCTCCTTCTCTTCCTCCTTTTCCTCCTCCTTCTCTTCCTCCTTTTCCTTCTTCTCTTCCTTTCTTCTCCTCCTCCTCCTCCTCCTCCTCCTTCTCCTTCTCCTCCTCCTTTCCCCTTTCCCTTTCCCTTTCCCTTTCCCTTTCTCTTTCCCTTTCCTCCCAGGGAAATCTTTTCCCTTTAATTTTCCTCAGGACCCTCCCAACATCATGTTCTCCTTATTTCTCTCAGGGTGAACTCAAGTTCTAAAATCAAGGCTGGACCTGGCAAATCCATCCCCCAAACCTGTTGGAGCTGCACCTCCTTCAGGCCAGGGGAGAGGAAGAGTTTGCACAAATATTTTGGTGCCCAGAGAACCAGTTCAAACATGAGATCCCGGGATTAATTTGGAGCAATTTCTGGATTCGAGCCAGAGCCTGAATCACAAAGTGGGAATTAAAAGTCACCAGAATTCCTGAAAGTCCCCCAGGAGATGAGTTTGTTTGTTTATTTCTTTAAAGAACAGGTTCAGAGTGACAGCAGGGGGACACTCAGGCCTTACTCACCCCTGCCACTGCATTTCCTCTGGGAATGATGAGTCACTTCTGGGATGTGACCAGGGATGTTCCTCTCAGGTGGCTCCAGGAGGTGTCCTGTTGGATATGGAGGAACCACAGCCCATCCAGGGGCTCCAGAACTAAAACCCTTCCTTGGATGAGAGAGAAAAATGCATCCTGGTACCCTCAGCTGCAAGAGGGTTGGATCATTCCCACAGTTTAGCTGGGAAGCTCAACACCAATATTAGGGAATACTGGGATTTATATTCTTTTTTTTTTTAATAAGGTTTTCTGACTCTCAGGGTTGAATTTTCTCTCTAATTTCACCTTGAATCTCCTCTCAAATTTTAACTGTCTTAATACTCAAGTTCAATCCAACCTGGTGGAATTGTCCCACAGGAAAGGGGTTCTTAGGTTTTGGGGTTTCAATTCACTCAAATCCTAATCAAGGGGTTTCATTTCTTGTCCAGTTTTGTGTCCTGGGAAGAGAAATGATGTGAACAACCCTCTAAGCTCATTCAGTACGTTGGTAGCAAGTCTGTGCCTGTAACCAACCCAACACAGCAGAGATTTTCTTCTCTCTTTAATATAAATTCCCTCTTTTTCAGGAAAATTTGTTCCATAATGTACGAGGAATAAATGGGAATTCAAGCAGCAATCTGAGCTCCTGCTCTCACTATTCCCAACAGATTTAGTCTGGGACCTGATGCCCTTGGATGGACAGAGACCTTTGATTTTTTCCATTGAGCTTGAACCTCCTCAGGGCCAATTTTGTCACCCAGGGCCCAACTGCCCTTTAGCTCCCCCAGCACCTTTCCCTGCCCATCTTCACCCCCTCCTGGTGTCTCACCTCACACCAGGAAGGTTTATGGTCCAGCCTGGGATGTTCTGCTTGAGAGCCCCCATTCCTGTGCTCAGCAGCTCTCAAGAGTTTGGGGGCTGACTCCTTGGATTCCTTGGTGTGTTAAACTGGACTTTACCCACCCCAGGCAACGAAATGCAGATTTTTTAGCAACCAGCACTTGAGC